CTTCTGATCAGCGTGTTCAGTTTATCTTGATGTTTCATATGAAAAATTTACAATCAAGCTTTTAAGGCTTGCTTTATTTTCTGAAGCTCCTTACCAAACTATAATGAATCCTCAATTAGTTATTGAATTTTATTCTAGAAGGGTGTGTGATTCTATATTTGCCCAGGTGGCGGAATGGTAGACGCAACGGACTTAAATCCGTGGGTTTTGTTAACCTTGGAGTTCGAGTCTCCCCCCCCGGGCACCAACATTTTTGTATATTCTTTTTTATACATACTTCATTTTATCCCAATTCTGTAAAATTATTTTCCACAAATTAGTATTTTGAGATTATGCTTAATGGCACTTTCTAGTGCTAATGTGGGTCTGCTTTAAAAAATAAAGCAAATATTAATGCTTCAAGAAATTAAATCAAAAATATCAAGAAAGTCTCTATTTGTCATTTTTCGATACATTAAATGTTAATTTCAACTCAAAGCTATATATGAGAGCATAATTTATATTATAGTGCTGTTCCTATAAATTTATCTTGTCTACTTGTTTTTTACACAGCTGCTATTTCATCCAATAAAAATCCCTCTGGCCAATCAATTTTATTTGCAACCAAAAAAGCTTTTTCTCTAGCTTCTGATAGAGATGATGCCGTTGCAACTATATTTAATACTCTTCCAGATACAGCTATTAGGTTGCCAGATGAATCAAAATCAGATCCAGCATGAAGTATATGAACGTCGGGATGCATGGAAAGATCTGGTATTTTTATTATAGACCCCTTTTTATACTGAATAGGGTATCCATTTGTGGCCATTACCAAGCATACAACATGATTGTTGTTGAATTCGACAGAGGAATCTGGCCCTAGTTTTTGTTCCACTGTGGCAACAATTAATTCCAAAAAATCACTTTTAATCCTCATTAAAAGGCTCTGCGTTTCTGGATCGCCGAATCTCACATTATATTCTAGTAGTTTTGACCATCTTCGGCGAACATTACTCCAGCAAACAATATTCCTTTGAATTGTATTGAGCATTGTACATTCCATTTATAGTTGGGTATATTATATTGCGCATTATGGCTTGTTTCTGCTTTTATATCTATATCTGGCACAGGAGTGAAAGATCCCATGCCACCTGTATTATAATTTTTACCATCATAACTGACTGATTTATAATCTCTTGCGGCTCCAAAATATTTCAAGTTTTTTCCATCTAATAGAACAAAAAACCCTACTTCCTTACCTTTTAAAAATTCTTCTATTATTACAACGTCACCCTTACCATCCAACTTCCCGCTAAAAACTACTTCAATAGCATCTTTTGCTTCATCTATGTTTTGACAAATAATTACTCCTTTACCAGATGCTAGCCCGTCAGCTTTTATTACTATAGGGAATACTTGGTTTCCTTCTAGGAATTGACATGCTAAATTTTTATCTGAAAATTGCCAATGTTTAGCAGTGGGAATGTCGTTAGCATCACAAAAATCTTTAGCGTAGCTCTTGAAAGACTCAAGCTTTGATGAATTCTTGTTTGGGCCAAATACTTCTATTCCTTCAGCAGTTAATGCGTCTGATATTCCTTGGGCCAGAAATTTCTCTTGAGATGGGATAACTATATCGATTTGGTTTTCTTTGCAAGCACATGCTAATCTGGGGAAATTAGAGCAATCTACATCTAAATAATTAGCATGTTTTAAGAATTCCTTATGTTTGTTTGTAGTATACAAACTATCTAGCATTGGAGATTCAGACAAAGAGCGTAGCAAAGCATTAGACCTTCCACCTCCACCCAGCACCAATACTTTATATTTGTCTTTTTTATATTTTGTCATACACCACGTAGATAGAAAAGATTACCTTATAACCATTTGTACACTAATTTTATGTTAAAAATCAACTGAGTTTATAACTGAATTTCTCAATCATTAGAATTTAAATTATAGATCCAGAAATACTAGACATAGAATGATTTTTGTATATACATGTTTGCATATGTCGTAATAAATTATATGTAGTTTTACAATCAATTTAGACAAATAAGGAAACTATATCTTGTGTTTTTTTTGTATAAAATCAAACATCGAGTCAAAAAACAAAAAAATTATTGTTTTTGTGTTTTTTTTTTACCACTTGTATGGCATATGATTTGATAATAAGATACTAATATATAAGTACATCAATTTGTCTTGGTATGTTAAATTTTGAAATACAGCGTCTATATTCCATAGAAGGAATAAGTGATTTGGACGACAAGTTTGAGAAATTTAGAAAGCATAGCGAAGATATTTTTGAAATAGCATTTGATTTGAGTGTGTTTGTTGCGGAACTATTTGAAATAGATTTGAGCGGGAAAGCGCGAAATATGAGGAATTAAAGACAATTTATTCATGCAAGCGTAATTTTGTTCAGCGTTATGCATTGAAGCAAAGCAGTCAAATCGCACTAGATATAAAGTACTTAGAATTCAGATTGTCGGAGATTATTGGGCGAAATTTCAAATCTGAGTATGCATATTCAATCAAAGTACTTGAATGGATAAAAGATCCTACGATGTACCAAGAGAATATAAATATCGCCGCGCAATACGCAAGATTGCGTCATGGTGAAGAGGGTTCTATATTATATTCTACTCCTAAAAAACTTGATTATTCCAATTTGATCGAAATGGAAAAAGATATGGATAGTTTTGTTTCCAAGAAAATACGCCCAAGAACAGGGTTCTGCTTGACTGATTCTGGCTTAAGTGATTCAAAAGCATTTGACAATGCAAGTTATTGTATATATTGCCATAAACGTAACAAAGACTCATGTAGGAAAGGTTTTAAGAAAAAAAACGGTGAATATCAAGTTTCTGAATTGGGTTTAGAAATGAAAGGTTGCCCATTGGGTCAAAAAATATCCGAAATGAATTTTTTAAAGTCTCAAGGCAATGATATAGGTGCATTAGCCATGATAATGCTAGACAATCCAATGTGTCTCGCCACTGGGTATAGAATATGCAATGATTGCTCAAAGTCGTGTATATTTCAAAAACAAGACCCGGTAAACATACCAGGAGTAGAGAGCAACATTGTTTCTACAGTTTTATCTATGCCTTATGGTTTCGAGATATATAGCTTGTTTACTCGATGGAATCCATTGAACAGAGAATCGCCAATTTTGATAAAAAAGGAATCTTCCAAGAAAGTTTTAGTAGTTGGTATGGGTCCGTCTGGTTTTACTTTATCTCATTATCTTCTCAATGAAGGCCATATGGTTGTTGGTATCGATGGTTTTAAAATAGAACCTATTGAACCAAGTATTTGTGGAGTCTCACCTGATGGTTCTAGGCATGAATTTGTCCCAATTAAATATCTGGATGATGAAACAATAGAAGATAGAACGATTTTCGGTTTTGGTGGTGTCATGGAATATGGAATTACACCAAGATGGAACAAACTGTATTTGAAATACATATATATATTATTGTTACGAAATCAAAGGTTTTCTTTGCATGGAGGTGTTAGATTTGGTTCTAATATAACCTATGAAGATTCAGTGAAAATGGGTTTTCATCTATATTGCTCTCTGCAGTGGGGCTGGTAGTCCTAAAATTTTAGACATTGAAAATTCTATGGCAAAAGGAGTAAGGATGGCCTCGGATTTTTTGATGTCTTTGCAAATGTGTGGTGCTTACAAACTATCCTCGGAAGTTAATTTGCAAATAATGCTTCCTGTTGTTGTGATTGGTGGAGGGTTGACTGCAATAGATAGTGCTACAGAAGCTCTGGCTTACTATCCGATTCAAGCCTTGAAATTTCTTCAGAAATATGATTCTATTGTTGAATCAGGAATCGATAATCCAATCGATTTGATTTTAGGTGATGAAAACAAAAAGAACGCTTTAAGGCTTATAGCTGATGGGAAAATTATTAGAAGCTTTAATGGTGACCGTGAATTGATATATAAGTATGTTAGAAGCCTTGGAGGTGTTAAAATTGTGTATAGAAAAAGAATACAAGACTCTCCTGCTTATAAATTAAACCATGATGAGCTTGAAAGCGCACTGTCCGAAGGAATAGAGTTCTGCGAGAACTACAAACCGATTAAAATCGTTACAAAAGATAGAGCTGTATTGGGTCTCGATGTTCTCAAAGGTGAAGATAATTTTTTTTTCCCCGCGAAAACAATTCTTGTGGCAATAGGGACACATTCTTCTGGGTTGATTGAAGAACTGACAAACAATGCATTTTAAAAAATACAATTTCGTAGTGAAATGAAGTTTGTGTGAAATTATTGCATATCAAAAAATTTTTTGTCCAAACAATTTGTCTTTGAATAGTGACAATAATTTTATTTGTAATAGATGTGTGAAATATACACATAGACCAATGTAGATTGCTTTAGAACTGTGCATGATGTATATTGCCAGTCCAAACACATTCTTCGGAAGCAAGCTTAACAAATAGGTCTGAAATTTGATTCAATGCGGCTTTTGAGTCAGGTAAATCTTTTCCTGGAAATGCTTTTCTATAGGTTTCGGTGTCTAATGGACCAGGTTCTACCATGTTTATTTTTAGATTGCTGTGCTCTGACTCGGCAGCGTAAATACGTACCAGAGTTTCTAAAGCAGATTTGCTGACAGCGTATGGGCCCCAAAAAGCTTGATTATGAAACCTAACTACAGTTGAGGTTACAAATACAGCCCTGCCAGCAGAAGAAAGCTTCAGAAGAGAATCAAAACATTTTATGAGTTTCCAGCTTGCGTTTAAATTTGTTGATATTATCTCAGACCAATTTTCACTTGAGTAATCAACCAGAGGGCTCAAAGAAGACATCAAAGATGCATTTGATGCTAGTATATCAAGCTTGGAAAAACGTGATTTAATAGAAGAAGATAGTAGGGCGATTTTATCATGCTCCATAAGATCTAGCTGAGCTATTGTTGCAGACCCTCCAGCTTTACTTATAGCATCATCAACTCTCTCGAGCTCAGAGATATTGCGTCCGACTAATATGACGTGTGCCCCCTCATTGGCAAATCTTAAAGAAACCGATTCGCCTATAGTTCCAGAGGCGCCAGTGACAAGAGCTACTTTTCCTTGTAGATGGCTCATACAGATTATTTGATATACAAAGTAATTTTTTTATTCTACACACAAACCTTTATTATTACAAGAAATTTTGGATTAATTATTGAAATTAACAATTAAGAATAGAAGCGACCAAAAGCAAATAACACTAATGCAATATTTATGTATTGGCATTTTAATCAAACTTATGACCAAACTTGTTGCGTATCAAGCTGGCTAAAAAATTAAAGCATAATAGTGTTATCAATAATATAAGAATAGTTGCCGAAGTGAGTTCTTGATAGCCAGGCTCAGATGTTGCGGACCATATGTATATTTGGGTTGGGAAAACTGTTGTTGGCTCCATAAAGCCACTTGGTAGATCTACTATAAAAGCCAACATTCCGATCATAAGCAATGGTGCTGATTCTCCTAACACCCTTGACAATCCTAAAATTATCCCAGTTAATATTCCCGGCAATGCAAGTGGAAGGGTGTGATGCAATGTTGCTTGGGTCTTTAATGCTCCAAGAGCTAGAGCAGCTTGTTTTATACTAGAGGGGATATTAGATACAGATTGTCTCGTTGATATTATAACTGTGGGTAGCATCATCAATGAAAGAGTCAAACCTCCGGCTAGCGCTGAAGATCTTGGCATACCAAGATAGTTGATGTAAAGTGCCAAGCCCAATATTCCAAATATTATTGCAGGTGTGGAAGATAAAGTATTGATGCCTGTTTGTATGAATCGATTTAATGTGTTTTGAGGCATAAACTCTTCTAAGTATATACCAGATAAAACTCCTATAGGAATTGCCACTGTTAGGCAAACAATGATTGTTAGAGCTGACCCAAGTATAGCTCCCAAAACGCCTGCATTTTTGGGGTTTCTAGAGTCTGACTTCAGAAAAAACACAGGATTGAAAGATTTTTTTATTCTTTTTTGTTCTTGAAGTTCTGTTATTATGGTTGTTATTTTTTCTTGTTGATTAGGCTGTTTATTTCTAAATACGCTGTCTACCAAAGTTGATGCTTTGAACCAAACTCTCCCATTACCTTCTGCAAGCAATTGTCTTGAAGAGTCTATATCTAATATATAAGTATAATTATCCAAAGAAATACTTGGTAATAATTTATGTAAAGATTGCTGTAATGCATCTGAAGCTTGTTGTCTGTTTTCAATTACAAGTTGATCTTCTATATCAATCAATATTTTAGTATGAAACATTGCTCCAAATCCATTGTACATAGAATTAAAAAATATAAAAGCCAAGAAAACGAACGGTATTAAAGAAGCAGATCCGCAGAGAATCTTAAACACATATTCCTTCCTTTTTCTTTTTTTTAAGGAGTTTGCATTAATGAAAAGATAGTGTTCTTCCACGCAAGTTTATGAATTAAGAAATGTACTATGATTACAGCACGTGACAATACAAATGTCAAAGCTTTATATTAATATCAATGTTGATTGTGAGTGCTTACTTGAAAAACTCTCTTTGTTTGCTTCTTTGCCAATCTCGTTGTTTTATTGTTTCTCTTTTGTCGTATTTCTTTTTTCCTTTTCCAAGTCCTAGCTTTATCTTTGCAATGTTATTAGAATTAAAAAAAACAGATAAAATTATCAATGATAATCCTTTTATTTTTAAAGTTCCTATGATTTTTGAAATTTGTCTTTTGTGTAATAATAATTTTCTAATTCTTTTTGGGTCGTGATTGTTCATATTGGCAGCTTTGTATTGAGGTATATGCATGTCACTGACCCAGAATTCCCCGTTTTGCTCAAAGGCGTATGAAGATGTTATGTTGGCCTTATTGAATCTCAGGGATTTCACTTCAGTGCCTTTCAACACAATGCCTGCTTCTATTTCTTCTATAATCTGATAGTCGTAGTGGGCTTTTCTATTATTTGATATTGTCTGCAATGTATGTTTTTTGATTAAATATATTGATTGATGATTATTCTATATTTCCTGTTTCTTTTATTCAACCTTGTTGGATTGTTTAATAATGTTTTTCTTGTATTAGAAGTGATTGTTGTCTTGTTGTAAAACTATGGGTATGGTATAATGAAAAAAATATTTGGGGGCATAGCTCAGTTGGTAGAGCGTCTGCTTTGCACGCAGAAGGTCAGCGGTTCGATTCCGCTTGCCTCCACGTTTTTGTACTTTCATTCAGTGCTGATTTGCTGCAGGTTTAAATTATTTTTTTTGTCAAAGAAATAAAAAATCCTATAATTTGTTTTTTCCTATTGAAAATATATTTAAAATATATATTTAATGTATAAAATTTGCTATGTAATCAAATTTCCTAGCTTGGCAAAAAATGGCAAGTCAAAAATAGATTAATTTTCATCTTTGTATTTCTGGCTTTTGTTAAGTCTATAATTGCTACATTGTTAGGCTTGTGGTATTAATTATATATATAGATATAATAGATTCAATATGGGCAAGCTTTACATAAAAACTTATGGATGTCAGATGAATTTTTATGATTCGGCTTTAATATCCAATAAGATCCAAGCGTTAGGTTTCACTCTGACTGATAATTGCAAAAATGCTGACATAATCGTCTTAAACACATGTCATATTAGGGAAAAAGCTGCTGATAAAATGTATTCTGAATTGGGCAGAATTCGCAATGCTGTGAATTCTGATGAAGTTACAATCGTAGTTGCAGGTTGTGTTGCTCAAGCCGAAGGACAGCAAATTTTTCAAAGAGCTCCCTATGTGAATGTTGTTGTTGGTCCTCAATCCCTTCAGTCTGTGGACAAATTAATACAGGATGTTATCAGCAAAAAGAATGCAACCAATAAATCTTCTCGGACTATTAATCTTGAATTTGATGTTGACGCTAAATTTGCCTCATTGGCTGAAGAGTTAAATACGAATACTAGCGATATGTCTGCTCTTTTATCTGTGCAAGAGGGTTGTAATAAATTTTGCACCTTTTGTGTTGTTCCTTATACAAGAGGTGGGGAATTCTCAAGACCAGTAATTGATGTTTATAATGATGCTAAGTCTATGGCTAAAAAAGGAATACGTGAAATTGTTCTATTGGGTCAAAATGTGAACGGTTATCATGGAGATAATGCAGGGGTTGAATGCTCTTTGGGAGCTCTAATGATGCGTCTAAATGATATTGATGGTATCGAAAGGATACGTTATACAACTTCTCACCCTATTGACATGCATGATGATTTATATAAAGCTCATGCTTCAAGTCGCAAGGTAATGCCTTTTTTGAATCTTCCTGTACAGTCTGGATCAGATAGAATATTAAAGAGTATGAATAGAAAATATTCTGCTCAAGAATATATAGATATAATAAATAAATTGAGGCAAGAGACAGCTGGTGATATAGCTATTTCATCTGATTTTATAGTTGGTTTTCCTGGAGAGACAGAGAAAGACTTTGAATGTACTATGGATTTAGTAGAAACCGTTGGTTTTGCTAGTTCTTATAGTTTTAAGTATAGCCCAAGACCAGGCACTCCAGGTGCTGATTACCCTGATCAAGTTCTCGAAGAAGTTAAATCTTACCGCCTTTCTATGCTACAAGAACTTCTTAATAAACAGAAACTTCAGTACAATCAGTCTTTTGTAGGAAAGAAAGTTGAGGTTATGTTTGATTTTATGTCTCAGGATGGAAAGGTATATGGACGTACTCCTCATATGCAGCTTGTTTATTCTTGTGATAAAAGCTTATATAAAACCATATCAGAGGTTGAAATAGGTCATGCAAACAAAAACTCTCTTGTGGTTGTGTGATTGTTTTATGATTCTATCCATCTCTTATTTGAAAACTTCATTTTATCGATTGTCAAGTTTTTCAATATAATTTTTATATGTACCTCAAGATTTAACCTTATATTGAGTTTCGTTATAAAACCTGCGTCAGTATGCTTATTTGTGCATTTTAGTACAAGTTTTTGTATTAGTTGATATAGCTCTTGGGAGAATTTTGTTGTTTGTTAGATTCTTTTTAATCACAAAAAGTTTTTTTTATGGTTGTGGCTAATAGATATGTATGGTGCAATGATGTCTTGCAACAATTGGAATAACAAAGCTTAGAGGCAAAGTATGTGTTTATGTGTATTAATTTTTATACAATTACCTTGAGACTTGATTTAATAGATCACTATAAAGTTTAGGTTATCACAATTGCTTAGCATCCTCCCTTAGGTATATTCTTAAGCAAGCTTTTTACTTGTTTTTCTAGATCCGTGTCTTTTTTTATATTGTCTCTTATTTTATTGATTGAATGTATAACTGTGGCATGACCTTTGCCATTAAATTCTTTTCCTATATCGGGCAAGCTTTTATTTGTTAATTCTTTACATATATACATGGCTACTTGCCTTGATAATACTATATTCTTAAGCCTTCTGTTGGACAACATTTCAGAGGTTTTGATTTGAAAATGGTTTGCAACAGCTTTTTGTATATCAGGTATAGTTGCGGTTTGTAGATTTGATCGTATCAAGTCAGATAGTATTTCTTTAGTGGATTCGAAGGTGATTTCTCTATTTACTAGCGAAGAATGTGCGATAACTTTATTCAATGCGCCTTCTAGCTCTCGTATATTTGAAGTGATTTTTTCTGCCAATAGCCTTATTACATTGCTTGGCACTTTTACAGATAGATTTTGCACTTTAGATTCCAGAATTCCCATTCTCAGTTCGAAAGTTGCTTCATGTATGTCTGCTACAAGCCCCCATCCTAACCTTGACTTTATTCTTTCTTCTACTCCATTTAGATCGCTAGGAGACCTATCTGCAGATATTACAAGCTGTTTTTTTTGGTCCATAAGTGAGTTGAAAGTGTGAAAGAATTCTTCTTGAGTGCTGTCTTTGCCGCTTATGAACTGTACATCATCGATCATCAGTATGTCGACAGATCTAAACTTTTCTTTAAACATCATTATGCTTTTGTTTCTAAGTGCGTTTATATATAGATACATGAACTTCTCTGCGGATAAGTACACAACTTTTCTTTCTCGTTGTTTCCTTGCGTTCCATGCTATTGCATGCATCAAATGCGTTTTACCTAGCCCAACCCCACCGTAAAGAAACAAAGGGTTGCTTTCCGTTAAGACAGTGTCAGTTTCTGATATCTTTTTAGCTGCTGCGAAAGCCAGTTCATTTGATTTTCCTACCACAAATCTATCAAAGGTGTATAGTGGGTCTATCGGAGAGCTTAATTCATCTTTATGTTCATTGGTTTTTTTGATCAAAGTGTCAGTTTGTTTGATTTTATTTTTTGAGTTTACATGTATTTCGACTGTGCACAGAGAAGCGTCATGTTTTCTCCATATCTCCAAGATACTATCTAAATAATATGTATCTACCCATTCCTTAATGAATTCAGTGGGTACGCTTAGAGTTGCATGTCCAACTTCGAGTCTAAGGAGGATTATAGGCTTTATCCAGCTATTATAAGTTTTATCTCCATATTTATTTTTGAGTTTTTCCTTCACTGTGGTCCAAGGAGATGAGGAGCAATCAGAAGACATTGATTGTCTTTTTATTTTAGATAGAAAATTTGCAGCTATCTTGTCGGTAAGTAAATTGGTTGTAGGCATTCTAATAATTATATCAGTTGAGAAAAAACAATCAAATGCTGTTATGGCATTGTTAAAGAAAAATTAGTATTAATGTGCATAAGTGTTTGTTGATTGCGTTATGTGTTTTTTATTTCCTTATTGTCAATAACTTTGATTATATTTATTTGGGGTTTTTTGCGAAATCCAAAAGTAGTATTTCATGTTCAGTATTGTTGAGAATTAAGTTTGTGTGTTTTGTTTTATTGGATCTAATTAATATGTTTTATGTCTGTTGATAGTTTGGGTGTATTCCAATTGATTTCAGCATTTGAGATGATTCAAAAATTGGTACACCAATCATAGAGGAAAAAGATCCACTGACCCAAGACACAAAACAAGAAGCTTTTCCTTGTATGGAATAAGCTCCTACTTCACCATACCATTCTTTTGAAGATATGTAAGCAGAAATTTCACTTTCATGAAGTCTTTTGAATTTCACAATAGTCTTTGTTGTTTTAATTATTGGCTCTGCACCATTGGTTAAAAGACAAGCGGATGCATATATAGTATGTCTTCTGCCCGATATCATTTTTAAGCACTTCGTAGCATCTTCGATTGATTTGGGTATATGAAGAATTTTTTTACCGCAGCTTGCGACTTTCCCGCAGGAAAGAACAATGGCATTTGGGTTTTGTTTTAGAGCAATACTTGCCTTCTGGCACGCAAGTCTTCTTGAAAAAATTGTTGGACTGTCTTGTGATAGATCTTGATTATCTACGGTAGGGGTTAGTAAGAAATTAGGCTCGAAGCCAGCTTGTTTTAGTATGTAAAAACCAGTCGATGAATCTGATGCAAAAATTAGCATTTAGAAAAACTAGGACGGTGGCTTAAAATCTGAGTTATGAGTTTTGTGTCTTTTTATGACTCTTCCTTTTTTGGTGTCATGTCTGGAAAGCTGAACTGTCACCCTATCGCCGACAAGGACCCTAACTCTAGCTTTTCTCATCCTACCTGATGTATGAGCTATAAGCAAGCTCCCATTGTCAAGCTGTACACGAAAGGTGGCATTAGGCAGCAATGCAATAACCTGTCCATCCTTTTCAATTAAATCTTCTGACACTTGTTGAAATGCAATAAAGTAATGAATACATATAAATATGAAAAAAAGTTTATTATGTTATATATACATAGTAACATCATATTTTACAACATGCTACACCTAAAAACATTTTTTATTGCTTTTATTCAAGGTTTTACAGAATTTTTGCCAATATCATCAACAGCACATATGATTTTATTTGCAAATCTTTTTGAAATACAACTGACTGATCAATTAGATTGCATAATGATTGGTTCTGCATTTGCTATAATTATATATTATAGAAAAATATTGTTTACCAAACACGAAGAATTATTCAATCTATATTGTAAAATTGCTATAGCATTTATTCCTGTAGCAACAACAGGTTTTATATTAAAGTCTTTCTTAAAGTTTAATTTTGATGCTTTTCTAACTCCATGGTCTCTGATTTTAATTGGTGTGATTTTGATGTTTGTACCGTATAGATATAAATTTAATAAAAAAGATACAATTAATTCTATAACCTACCTTCATGCGTTATATATAGGTCTTTTTCAGGTCTTTTCAATAATTCCAGGAGTTTCAAGGTCAGGTATAACAATATTGTCTGCAATGATGATGGGATATAGCTTGCAAAGTTCGATAAAATTTTCTTTTTTAATTGCTATTCCTAGCTTGGCGAGTGTTTCTGTATATTCAATATATAATTTCGGATGGGACAATTATTATTTAGGCCTTTGTATTTTCACATTTATAATTTCTATGATGACAATAATAAAAATATTGCCATTGTTCTCTATAAAACTAATACAAATTTGTGGTTTATATAGAATAATATTAGGGTTTTTGATTTTGTTGTTTTGTTTTGATATGTTTTGATATCAATTCAAAATTCTAAATTAGATATTATTATCTTTTTTGTGTTGGATTCTGGGAAAGTTTCAAGAGTGTGTAAAGATTTTTTTAGATATGCTTTCGCATCTCCAAGAGCGTGATCAATTGCATTGTATTTGTTCAAATGTTTTATTATTTGATCAATACCATGATTGTTTGGAGATTGAATGGCAGTAATAAGAAACTCTTTCTCATTAGGGCTTGAGACCTGATAGGCTAATATCAATGGTAGAGTTATTCTAGAATTCATAAAATCTGCTCCAGAAGGTTTACCTGTCTCAGTTCCTACATAATCCATTATGTCGTCAATTATTTGAAATGCTATACCAAAGTTTAATCCAAACTCGTATGCTGCACATCTCTGTTCGTAATTTGCTCCACCTGCTACAGCTCCAATTTCGCAAGATGCTGCAAATAATACTGCTGTTTTTGAGCGTATCACGTCATAATAAGTGTGTGAGTTGAAGTCTAATTTCGAAACCAGCTGTTTTATTTCTCCGCGTGAGATTGCAACAGAAGTTTCTGACACTATTTTAAGTATTTCGGAATTATTGGAAGATACAAGCCATTTAAATGCGGTGCTAAGCAAGAAATCTCCAACTAGTACGCTTGCTTTGCTTCCCCATAATTTTTGTGCTGTAGATTTTCCTCTTCTTGAATCGCTATTGTCAATCACATCGTCATGTAAGAGTGTTGCTGTATGTATGTATTCAATAGAAGCTGCAATTATATTCAAGTCTTCTGGAATAGAATTTGAGCACAATTTATTGAAAGCTAGTACAAACAATGGCCGTATTCTTTTTCCTCCAGATTGCATTAAATTTGAAACTACATTTTTAATAAGCATTTCTACAGACGATGGTTGTAGAATATTATCAATTTGAGCTAGATCTCTTTGCAAGTGTGAAGTTAATGCTTGAACACAGCTTAAGATTGGATTTTGCAACGTCATTGGAAAAGAAACTAAATATTATTATGACGTATAATATACATACTTAACTATTACTATCAAGTTTTTGAATGGATTTATTGTTTTATATGAGCAATAGTATTAAATCTATACCTAGATGGGTGTTTAATTCGTAAACATTCCCAGAATTGTGAGATTTTTATTGCTTTTTCTCTGTTTTGATTAATACATCTTCTTTTGCTTGATACTTTTCCAATAAAATTTCGTTGCTTCCTCCAATCATTATCAAGTAATTGTAATTGTTGTGACTTATTAATATCAATCTTCTCTTTCCGTCTATCATTATAGAGTCTCTAATTGACATCGTACTTGAACCGACAACTCCCTTTTTGATAAATTTTCTAAAACAATATGCAACAAGAAAAATCAATCCAATGACAAATATTAATGAAAACAATGAACTAATTAACACGGCACCTTCTTTGAATCATTATGTGCTTTCGCACTTATTAAGTCAATTGTTATTCTTAATTATATCATCTGCGTGGTAAGTTCTATATTGCCATGTATTTTGTTGAGGTGGTTTTGACAAGACTTTGTATGTTAGCTAATATTTAGAATCTAATTAATATGTTTCTGATATAGTGATTGGGGTTGATTATAATTATATGTTTTGGTATAGTGGAGAGATTATTATGTGCCTGTAGCTCAGTCGGTAGAGCATCTGCCTTTTAAGCCGAGTGTCATGGGTTCGAATCCCATCGGGCACACCATTTGTACCATACAAAGCATATCCTTGTAAATAACTTATAAATATTTCTATATTGTTTGCAAACTCAGTAAGAAATTTTTTTATTTGTTTATGCGAACAATATTTATGTGCCCCATCTTTCTGTCCCTCTTAGTTTCTTTTTTGCCATATATAAATACTGAATTGTTTATACCATCATGATTTTTCATTACATCATTCACTTGAGAACCTAGTATATTTTCTGTAGCACATTGGGAATAAATTATTACAGGCTTTGGCTGCAATCCAATCGCTATCCTAACAAGCTGATCAAATTGACTAAGGTTGCATGCATTAATGCTCCAGTGGCATGAATTATGGGGTCTTGGAGCTATTTCATTTATAAGTATTTCATTATTTTGCGTTATAAAAAATTCAGTACACATTATTCCTATAAGTCCAATTTTATCTGCGATTCTACCGCAAAATTCTTTTGCAGCATCTTGATGTTGTTGGGAGACAGACGATGGAGCTGAAGATCTCACGAGAATTCCATTTTGATGTAGATTATCTGATATAGGAAAGAATTCAATATTATCATTTTTATCTTTGGATATTACAACAGATATTTCTTTGGAAAAATCTATGAATTTTTCAGCTATGCAAGGGTATTGAATAGAATGTATGTCTTCTGAAGTTTTTACAATTTTCTGTCCCTTGCCATCATATCCCAAGGATATATTCTTTGTTATTAAAGGTAATCCAACTTCTTCTATAAATGAAGATAATTCTGAAATTTGTGTAACCTTCTTCCAAGGTGTTGTTGGGAGACTGATGGAATTGAACAATTTTTTTTCATTCACTCTATTACTGGCAACTTCAAAGCAAAATTTTCCAGGAATTAATTCAACATTTCTGCTCAAGAAATTCAAACATTCCGAAGGTATATTTTCAAATTCACAAGTTACAACTGTGGATGAGTCTGCAAATTTCTTAAGAGAGTTGTAATCTGTATAAGGTGCAATAATTGAATAAGGAGTTACATGTACAGCTGGAGAATCATGTGTGTCAGAGTAAACTATAGACTTGACTCCAAGATTATGTGCAGATAAGGCAATCATTTTACCTAATTGTCCTCCTCCTAGTATACCTAACATGAAATCGGAAAACATTATTACTACACGCAAACAATCAACACTGAAATCATATATAATTTCTTTAAAAACACAATAATATATGTTGCACTTTGTTTTAATTTTTTGAAATCTGTTTTTTGCTATGATTGTTTATAATCATATCGAGCTTGTATTACGTTTTAAATTTGTATTTAACAGTGATTCATTTGTATAATAATCTGTATGTCTAATGTTAGAAATTGGCTGATTCTATCTTCCTTCATGGTTGTTTTGATGGTTTTTTGGGGTGGTCTTACTAGATTGACGCATTCGGGTTTGTCTATAACTGATTGGCGTCCTATTTCTGGAATCCTTCCGCCATTATCTGAAAAAGACTGGGAACATGAGAAGGAAAAATATCATTTAACTCCTGAATACAACTATATCAATTACGGAATTGAGCTTTCGGAGTTTAAATTTATTTACTTGGTGGAATATTTTCACAGATTCTTAGCCAGAATGACTTTTATTGTTGTGGCTTTGCCTTTGATTTTTTTTAGAAATCATTTGGTTAAGATAGAGTTTATTTTAATGATTTTAGTTGTATTAATGATATGCATGCAAGGGTTTTTTGGTTGGTATATGGTTAAAAGCGGTCTTTCTGATGTTCCTTATGTTAGCCACTATAAACTAGCATTGCATCTAATGACAGCTCTTTGTATATTATCTTTATTGCTTGAAGTTTTGTCTAGATTTTTGGTAAGAGTTAAAAATTACAGTGTTGAGCATAAAGGGTGTTTGAGTTTAAGTCTTTTGTGTTTGTTGACCATTCAAATATTTTACGGCACTCTTACTGCGGGTTTAGGGGCTGGTCTTATCTATAACAATTTTCCAATGATGGGTGCTAATTTTTTTCCTGAATTTGCCAACCCTTTGTCTGATCCCGCAACAGTTCAGTTTGTTCATCGAGTTTTTGGGTTTATGACATTGATTTTATCTATAATTGAGATTTCTTATAAAAGATCAGCTTATAGCTTTATCTTGATTTTACTTGTTGTTATACAATTCATTGTTGGGGTGATTATGTTGATTTTTTCTATTCCTCTATATACATCTTTGTTTCATCAAGTAAATGCATTTTCGATATTTGCTTTAGTATTTTTCTTCTTTCGTGTCAATTCATTGAGAAAGAATCATTGATCTAATCTGCTCCAAATTCTTCTTTTTACCACAATCATTACTGATATCATTATGGCTAGAAATATTACTATTTTTATACCCATCTTTTTTCTTGCTTCCATTTCTGGCTCTGCAGTCCATTGCAGGAAGTATACTAAATCACTTGCCATATTTTCGGGGGTTGGTTCAGTGCCATCTTCGTAGTCAATTATTCCTTCTTGAGACAATGGAGGTGCCATTGCTATGTTTTCAGCTGGGAAATATTTGTTTGGATAAAGACCTTCTTCGTTAGGTTCTTGAGAATCATAACCTAACAAAAGTGAATATAAATAATTAGGTCCATCCTGTCTAGCTTTTATGATCAAAGAAAGATCTGGTGGGATAGCACCATTGTTTGATGCTGCTGCTGATTCAGGATTTGGGTAAGGAGGAACAAAATAGTCGGGTAATTTTCCAGATCTTTCGTACATGTCACCATTTTCATCAGGCCCATCAATGATAGTATAAGAAGCGGCTATGGCTCGTGCTTCATCTTCTGAAAAACCTATGCTAATCAAGTTGCGGAAAGCTATTCTTTTTATAGAGTGACAGGAAGAACAAACCTCTTTATAAACTTTGAATCCCCTTTGTATTGACTGTATGTCAAAGTAACCCAAAGGCCCATCGAATTTCCAAGACTTCTGCATTGGCGGTAAAACATTAGAAGAAGCCGAGTAGCAAACCTTGGGAACATGAAAAATCAGGATAATGCAAATAAATACTCTATACATAATTCTACCTGTTATTTTCTATATCTTCCCAAACAGTCTCAGGTGGGGTTATGCATTTTTCTTTCACACCAAGCAATGGCAGCACAATTAGAAAATGAGCAAAA